GGATTAAGTGTTAATTTTTGACCATGGAGTGTAGTCATGATTTCTCCCCCCTGAGCTTCTTGAATAACAATTTTTTTAGAGAAAAATGACTTAGATTATTTGAAGGAACCTAAAAAAGAGCAACTTCTATGCTCTAGTCACCACTGAAAGAAGGTATTAATCGGTGGAACATTTCTCGAATGTATAAATTGTAGAGTGGCTATCTACCCTAATAGCAAATAGTATGGTAGATAACAAAATAAAGATAGCCACTTGCCATACCTGCCACTTCCCTATTTATCAAGGTGATTTAATTCACCACAGTTCGACTGGTAGCCACTCAGGAACTGTTGATACTTATGGGGCATCACAATCAACAAGAGGGGGAACAACTTTCTATGGTAGCAGTGGAACATATGAAGGAACTAGTCATGCCGAAGGATGAGTTCAGTGCCAATGGTGCTTAAATGAATATGGTAAGGAATTGGCTAGACAAAAAGCTTGAAAATGGAAATGAGGTTTAATAATTTGGTTATCTATTCCAATTATAACTGCAATAGTTGGTTTTTTTGTAAATAAAAAAGATAGTGAAGGTAAAGTTATTGGAAATATGATGGGTGTTGGTTTATTTGCTGGTTTAATACTTAGCTTTATTGTTTGATGAATTGTTAGATTTTTCTTTCAACCTAGTGCTAATAGGTATAAGTTTAGGTCTTATCGAAGAAGAGAATAATCATGACTAGTCCCATAATCCTCCAACCCCACCAAATAATCAAGTTAGAAGAAAGATTTACCCAACAAGAAATAGCCAATATTTTTGGAATTAATGTAAAAACTCCTACTAATTTGCCTAAGCAAAAAAGAGGTCGTAAAGAAATTTTTAACCCAGAAAAATTGGATATCTTGTGTTCTTATACCATTACTGTCAAAATCATTACCCAAAAATCTTTGGCTCAGAAATTTTCTTGCTCCCAACCAACTATTTGTCGAGTTTTACAAAAACTAGAAATTACTTATAAAAAAATATCTTACCAATCGTCTGAGCAATTACGAAAGAAAAATAAAGAAAAAATAAACTTCTTCGTTAGTGAGATA